TTGCTTAAGCATGATACAAAAATAAGACTCCTAAATTTAAAAACAGATGGATTGGACTAATTTAAAATAAACAGCTTCTGTTAATCACACGATATCATTAAGGCAATGAAAAGGTAATCCCAAAAACAGTAGAACATTCTCACAATTTATATGTCTAATAAGGGATGTGTATCCAAATATTTTAAAAAACCTCTACCAACAAACAAGAAAGATGGACAACCAATAGAACAACAGGTAAAAGTCTATAACAAATACTTCCCAATAGAGGATATACAAGTGGCACAAAAAATAGATGAACTATTCAACTTCATTAGTCACTGCTGAGATGCCAATTAAAAACATAAGAGGGAGAACTGGGCAGGGGGATGGCTCAAATAGTAGAGCAACAGCCCAGCAAGCAGGAGCCCTGCATTCAGACACCACACCAGTACACCCTGAAGAAATAAATAAAAAAATAAAAAGATAGCGTTAGATACTTACAAAAATCATCAAAATGAAATTAAAAAGACATGTATGTGTCCTATGAATGTAGAACAACCAGAATTATCACAATTGCTTGTCTAGAGTATCAGTCTAGACTTTAGAAAAGGTTTGGCTTGATTTACTGACTGTGGACATAAGCATACTCTGTGGGTTAACAATTTCACTGTGAGGTATATGCTCAGAAATGCGTACGGGCAGCATTACTGACAGTAATTCCAAACTGGAGGCTGCTCAAATGCTCCTTGATAGAAGCAGGATAAATATTCACACAACGTAACAGGATACAGCAATCAGGCGAACAATTTTCAACTACTTATAAAAATATTAATGAGTTTGTTGAGTAGTCCACTCACGTATAGTATGGAAACAGGCAAAAAAAAAAAAAGCTGCCGCAAATCAGGACAGTGTTTATTCTGGCACTCCCAATGTGTGTGTCTGGGAGTTAGCACGACATAGGCTTCTATGATTCTGGTGCTAGTGTGTCTCTTGACCTGAAAGCTGGTTGATCAAACTATACACTTAGATGTGTACTTGTTGAAGATGTCTTCTACCTCAAAAATAGCTTTAAGAAAGATCCTTATGCCTGGATTAAAGATAGGAAGAGAGGATAAATGTTGGCAGTAATTGTCTTTGCTTCATGGGAATGTGAATAAATACCTTTTTTCTACTTCTTTGAATTTTTCAAACCATTTTTATGAGGTTGTATTAGTTTTATAATGCCAAAAAATAAGTGAATTTAAATAAATACAAATGTTAAGAGTGTGTGTGTGTGTAAAATTGCAAGTACGTCAGAGTCCTACAACAATGAAAATGATGAATTGACTGCACGTTTTTAGAGCCACATCTGTTCAAGAAGAAGAGGGACAGTTGTCTGTAGCCAGGATGTTCACCTTGTTTGATCCAGTCTACCTTTGTGTCTAATACCTTCTCTGCAGTGTCACTGTAAAACACAGCTTGGGACAGGAGTTGGAGGTAGCATCTACATCTCTGTATGACGTTAGAAGCTCCATGGCTGGGCTTGTGGCCTTGTTAGAAAAGAGGGGGCTCTGGAGCCCAGGAGCAGGATCCACATGTTTTTATTCTGTTAATTTGGACCTGATGAACCAGCTGGCTACTATGTTACCAATGTGAAGAAGAAATGAGCCTCTATTGCCATTTCCTCAGATGGTAAAGAAATCAAGGGAGGAAAAGATTTCTAGTTATTTTAATGCCAGCATTAAAACAGCTGTCTTGTTTTTTGTGTTCCCTTCCAGTTTTCACACACAATACACATAAAGCCCTTTGTAAATCCTGGCACGGAGCAGGTATTCAAGAAATGGCAGTTGTCATTATTGTTAATGTCAAAGGGAGAAGTATGTGTTTTCCTATCTAGGCCTTTCTACCTTGTCTTTTCAGAAGTGTTGGATAATATTCTGTCTTCCTCTCTCTCCATAAAGGAGGAGTAACTTCCTGAACTGTTGCTAAAATTGAAAGAACTTAGGTTCCCAGGGTCCTGGTGATATCTGTCACTGGAAAGGATGCTTTCTGTTCAGTTCTACTCCATTTCATTGAAGTTAAGCTCATATTATTCTTTTCTATTTCCCTCCCTTCCTGTCTGTAAAAAGCAGTGTGAATTTTCATTTACAGCACATCTCAGTTTGGAATAACCTCATTTCCAGTGCTCTAAGCCCTATGTGGCTGGTGGCTACTGTGCAGGACAGCACAGGTTAGAGGCAGTTCTCGGATGTGTGTTCCCCTCACTTAACACCACTGCACTGATTCAGTTGTTTTGGTTAGACATGTCTGCTCTGTAGTCCCAACTACTTGAAAAAGTTACACCAAAATGCAGACTTGCAGAAAGATTTTAGACTTAGGAAAAGGTTTTATTAAGCCCAATTGTAACTATAGATTTAAGCCATGTTTTCACAATAAACACAGTATTCATGATCCCTCTGTTTTGTTTTTTAGTTATATTTTTTCTGAGATTATTATTTTTTAATCAGTCAAGTTCAGTTGTAGACCACAGAAAACATTATAGAAGAATATAGGAACAGAAGGTGTTTTTTTTCTTTAAATTGAAAATCAGGGCCTTAGAAAATCATTGAAAGGACTGAAGCTACTGGAGTGTTGGTATTGCTAAAACTTTTTTGGGGGTTCAGTATTTTGGCAGTGCTGAGGTTTGAACTCAGGGCCTTATGCTTGGTAGGCAGGTGCTCTGTGATTTGCGGCACTTCTTAACAGTAACTCTTAAAGGATGTGCAGTCTGCACAGGGGCTGGGGATGAGCTTGGCTCCAGGGCCATGTGGACTTCCAGGTGCAAGCTGGTCAAATGGAATTTCATATCTGTCCTTTAACCTCCTCTGTCATTGCTGCCCAGAAACAACCAGAATATTTTAAAAGTCATTAAAATTCTTGCCGGTAGAAAAACCACGGAAATGGCAGAAGTATGGTTTCTACTACAGTTTTGCCTTCTAGATTTTATGCAGTGTATGAGGAAAAGTAGGTTATGTGTGAAACACCAGTACATAAGTGAATCTAGGACATGTAGCCTTTATCTTCTCAACTTCTAACAACAAGAAACTTTGCAAGGAAGTCACAATGCAGTTGAGTGAGACAAGCTGCAGCATAGGGTACAATCTGAAGCTTACTAGAAGGGCTATTCTTTATTGGCAACTGAACCCTAAACAATTATTTTTTTGCATGATTGCCCTTATAATAGATAAACAGTTAACATAATTTTCTTTTATCAGTACATCATCCGTTTTGATAATTAACTTAATATTAATATGTAATATTGCATTCAATTGATGGTTTATACATTTCCTAATGTTCAAAAAATTATCAAAATCCTTTTGGGGGCATTTAAAAATAGTTTAGAATACATATGGTTAGTTTTAAGCATAGGTGACTAGATAAATTGTGAACATTAGTTAATATAGCTTAGCTATGTTTCTCTTTAGAAGAACAGAACATACATTTATTTAAGTATCCTAATATGATATATTCATTCATTATTGCCATGAACTTTGTAGCTTTTAAATAATGCAGTTGACTATTCTACTGTTCATAGGATGGAAATCTGGCAGACATGGAAGTTCTCTGCTTAGAATTTTACAAGGGCAAAATCAAGATGCCAGTAAGACTGCAGGCTCTTTAGAACCTGTTTCTGTGCTCATTCGTGTTGTTGATTGAGTTTAATTTCTTGTGGTTGTGGACTGAATTCCATATTACTTTGCAGGCCATAATCTGATAGCCGTTTTCAGTTTCTAGATTCAGCCCTCATTCCTTGGCACTTAACCTCCTTCTTCCATCTTCAAAGCCAGCAACTACGGGTTGAATCTCCTTACACTTCACATCTCTTCTGCCTTTTCCGCCATGGCTTGTCTCTTACATACTGTGATCCTAGACAGGAAAGATTTTCTACTTTAAGAGAACCTTTTGTGAGTAGACCAATCAACTCAGATATTTCAGCATAATCTTTTTTGGGGTCTGTATCTTTAATCATATCTCAAAGTCTCTTTGCTATGTAATGCAACCTATTCATAGGTTCTAGTGATTAAGACGAATATATTTTTGGGATCCATAATTCTACATACCATATATAGCAGCGGTCAAGTTGATCTAAAGAATGCATTTGTTTTAATATTTGTTATATGATAATAATTACTGAATGACTGAATGATTTATCATTTTTATTGCTTAAATAATATCTTAGTATGATGTATAACTAAATAACAAAACTAAACTATCAACTAAGCTATCCTATTTGTGACAAGAAGATCAAGACAATTATTGGTGCTGAAAGACTAAGCCTTAATTTTTTCTTTCATTTAACTGAAATACTTAAGAAAAAATAAATAGTACTAGATAGACTTAACCAAGAAGTGTGTTCATAGAACAATTCATCTTGACCAAAAGCAGATGTGGTCTTTGTCATTTTTGTTTAAAAGACTATGAATGTGAGGGCATTTTTTTTTCCTGATGGACTCTCTCAAAATAATAAATGGAGAGTTAGGATTTTGCTGATTGTTTCGAGAATGGCAGGTTTCACATAATACACCTTTTAAGCACTATTAATCATCCATTTGTTTGGATGAAAAACAATGCCTTTTAATATTGAAAGGTGGATTACTGGAATCTTATACTTTTCTCTAGCTCACAAGATCATTGTTTAAATGAATAATTTACTTTTAATTAAGCTAACTAATAAACACTTTAAAATATGTGGTTTAAAGAAACAAACATGTTATTAGATTGGTAAAAATTAAAGAATACATCATTTTCTTTATAAATATTTCTGAAAGGGATTATTTGGTGAAGGTACTATGAAGCTTTATGTTCTCCCAAATTTTCTCTTATAAGTTATTCAGGGAGGAAAAATATGCCATTGGTACTTTGTTTTCCATTTATTTCATGACTAGCAAAGATGGATTTTTGACTTTACCTTCATATCTAATATCTTATCATTTTGAGCAGTAATGTTATATTCTTATCAGTGCATATTTTTGCTTTTGACATTTGTCTTGTTCTCAACACAGGATGGTGTAAGTGTTCCAGGCAGTAATTCATCTGACCTATTACACTGGACTACTGCTACTACCATGAAAGTCCTTTCCAACACAACAACTACCACCAGGGCTGTGCTGCAGGCTGTCAGTGATGGACAGTGGTGGAAGAAGTCTTTAACTTACCTCCGGCCCCTCCACGTAAGCAAGGCATTCTTCTTAAAATTAATTTTGTGATTTATGTCAGTTCTTTAGCACTGCAGCACAGTTTTTTCACTGTCATATCTTTAATTATTAAAAAAATCTCTTAAGAAAGCCATAAAACAAGGAGTAAGTAATCTGTTTCATAGAGTCTGATATACTCCTTTGGAAGACTTACAAAGGAGACAGATATTTGGTAAGGTTTGATTTATGTATCAAAATTTGGTGAGATGAGAATGATTGTGTCAGTACTTACTTGCTTTTGCTATACTTTTACAGGCTAGTAATTCAGGAAGAATGTTAGGAAACAGCTTGGGTCTAGCTAAACAGACTTTTGCTTCCATTCTAAAAGTAGAAGCCAAGACCAGCAATTGCGTTTGCTTTGGGGGACATCTTAGTCTGTGGCTCCCTTGCTATCTTCTCTGTATCATCACACTGCAGTCCTTCAGTCCCACACTGGAAAACAAAGGAAAAAGAAGCATGTGCCTTTATATCATTTCATCCCAAACACTCTTGGAGTTTCTCATCCATCCATCCATCCATCCATCCATTCAGTCAGTCAGCAAATACTTAGCATTTGCTTTCTGTGAGTCAGACACTCTGCTGAACACTGGGAACAGAATGGGGACCACTTCCCTCTAATTCCCTTCTCAGTGGAACTCACATGTCAGCAGGTGGGGCAAAGAAAAAAGTATTTGTATAATGCTATAGCGTCGGGTGGTAGTGAGTACTATGAAGACTACTTAAACAAGACAAGTGAATAATGAATTGTATGGCGGAGTAATGTTCTGATTTAGAGAGGGAAGCTGGGTTTCTCAGAAAAGAATAACTTTTCAGTAGGAACGTGATTAAGCCAAGAAGAACAAGTACAAAGTCCTGTGGGGGAACATGCTTGACATCTTTGTGGAACAAACAGAAGGCAAGTGTGGTGTGAGCAGAGTGAACAAAGAGGAGAACGGTCGGAGATGAGCTCAGATTGATGGTGAGGAGGACAGTCACAGATAGACTCACATAAACTGTGGTGGTGAGTGTAGATTTTGTTCTGAGTAGAATGGAAAGCTTTTGGAGAATTTGTGCCATGCAGTTATGTGCTCCAACTTTATTTTTTTTTTAATATTTCTGCAGTATTTGGGGTCTGAACTCAGGGCCTTGCACTTGCTTGGCAGACACTCTGCCACTTGAGCCACTCTGCCAGCCCTTTTTTCATTGGTCATTTGTAACATGGGGTCTCACTTTATGCCACGTCAGCCTGGACCATGATGCTTCTATTTGTGCCTCTACATAGCTAAGATGATGCACATACATCACTGCACCTAGCCATATGGTTGACATGGGATTTTGCAAAATTTATCTTTCTTCTCCTTCTTCCTCCTCTTTCTTCCTCTTCTTTTTTTTTAATTGACCAAGGCCTGATCTCTGCCTCCCAAGTAGCTAGGATTGCAGGCTTCAGTAGTCACGCCCAGCTGCAACTTTACTTTTAATAAGATCATGGAACTGCCGCGTGGGGAGTTAGGAATAGAAACAAGGAGGCAGAGATCCCTGGTTTGGTACTGTAGGCAAGAGATACTAGTGATTTAGATGAAAGTAACAATGAAGGAAGTGGGCAGTGGTTGGTTTGGCATGTATTTTGTGGACCTGCTGATCACCTGGGTATGGAATACGCAGGAGAGAGGAGATCTGAGGCTGTGAGCCCAAACAGAGATACCGTGTGCTTGACTTTGGGGTAAATCTGAATATTTCTTATCACTTTATGCATCACATTAGATTATAATTATGATATTTTCTCTTCTCACCTGTTGGAGGTTTTGAGAGTCCATGTCTTAGGCAAAGTTTTTAACAGTTTATAGCATCAGCTATAATTTTTATCATTAGCAACAGCAGCTACATTATTTCCCTAGACTGTGCTTGCCAGAAGTAGGTGTGCAGTAAATGTGGGAGGAACGTCTTTTACTTGGCTGTTTCAGGAAGGAGCTTTAAAGTCTATTTGAGGAGCATAAATAACCATAATTATCCGTACCATGGGTACTAAATAACTTCTCATCAGGAATGTTGATCACAGTCTTAAAGGCTTGTGTGGGGCTGGTGGGGGTAGAGGTGGTATTTGTGAAGGAGCTGGGGCCAATGAAAGGGACACAGTCATATCATCTTCAGCAGGTGGGGGCTGAGCTGGGCCTGCAGGAAAGGGAAGAACTTCACCAGGCAGACCTCTGGGACAAGACTTTCACCTTGAGAAAAGGGAACCCAGGTCTATAGGATGCATAAGGCAGGTTTGTGTGGTTGGAGAGGAGAGATAGCCTTTAACATTAGCAGCCTCAAATGTTACTCTGCAGGGATTGGGTTTTATGCTGGTAGCTATTTGCCTTGCTCAGAGCTACTAAAGGTTTTTTGGGCATGGAAGCAACATGTACAAAGCGATGTTTTAGGAATGATGTGGTGTAGAAAATTCACCCTGCGTATAACACTGATTGCTTCACTGTTTCTGATTCACTGATGTCAAAGTGACCAGGAAAATCCAGAAGGACTGGAAGGTGGGGTTGAAGTGTTGCTCGTAGAATATAATTATTATTGTCACATCTTCTGCTGGGTACCTGTGTCACTCTGACACTTGTGCTTTTGGTCACAGAAAGCATACTGATCAGTGTCTCCTGAAATCAGCCTTATTTTTTTCCTTCTCCTTTTCTTTTTCTCCTTCCTCCCCCTCATGGTCTCTCTTTGTATTCATTGTTCTTCACTTTTCTGTATTTAGGGGCAAGAATTTGGTGGTGCTTATCACATGGGCACTACGGCAAATGAAGATCTAGAAAAACAAGGTTGTCATCCTTTTTATGAATCAGTCATCTCCAATCCCTTTGTCACTGAGGTAAGGACAGTGTGCCTAAGAGGATAAATCCAACTGTCATGTTTTTATGGACAGTATAAAGAAAAACTAAAATTGTCCCAAAAATGTACTTCTTTGGCTTTATTTATTCATGTTGTACTTTGATTTTATGTGTCTTGTTTCATATACATCATGACATATTATGAGATGAAAATCTACTTAAATGTTAGATGAAATAACATGCAGTAGTGAGATGTTATTATTAAAATTACCAGAAACCATAAAATCCTATAATTGTGTTTTCTAAGAATATACTCTTAACACTCTATTAAATGGTGAAACTTCTGTTTTTATCTAGTCTGAAGTGACCTATGACACCTACCACCACATCCCACAGGAAAGCTTTGCAGAAGTATTACTGAGAACTGGAAAACTGGCAGAGGCTAAAACTGAAGGAGGAGTATTTCCAACCACAGAAGGTAAGAAATAAGGTTCTAGTTTCTTGACAGGGTATAACTCTAGGGGAAGAGTATATATTGGATGAACAGTACTAATATATGAATAAACAGAGTTAGAAAAAAGTAGTAATTTTTTTGTATTTTGAATTGCCTAACTCAACACCACCATCCATTCATTCATCTATTCATTTGTTTGAACTTTATTTATCGAGAGTCTCCTCTTTTCTGGATACTTACTTTGAGGATGTAAGTGGATAAATAAGATATAATTCCTATGTTTAAGTTCCTAATTATGTAAAGTGATTGTCATAGTGAATGGTATATCATGCTCAAAAAATACTTATTTCTTTTCTACTTTGATGTTTCTTTGAATGTAGATCTATATTTGATTTTGAGAATTTTCTGATGATGGCATATCTTTCCAGATAGAGTTTTTGGAAAAGAAAGACATGTATGCAGGTTTACCAATTTGCCATTTGTACTCTTTTTTTTTTTTCTCATTAGCCTCCTATTTCTTTTTAAAGAAACAGACTCCCTGACTTTATTCTGTCAATTACCTCTTTCTCTGTTCTGCCTTCCTTAGTGAATACCTCATGATTCAAAGGCCGTGGAGCTCCAGCTATCTGGTCTGAATTCCAGGCAATCAGTGAGGAGGAAAGGGGATGAAGAGGGAATAAAACTTTTCTTAGAAGCCTTCTCCACAACTTCCAGTTCCATGCTGTGGGCCTCCTTTAACTGGCTGTCAGCCTGGGCGGTGCATCCCGGCTGACAGTGCATTGCTCTGTGGAGTAAAACTCAGGAAAATGCATTTGGGGAATTGAGCTGCTTTTTTCCTCCAGGCAGACGCTATAACTTGTTTTTAGATGACTGTTTTCTTTAATCAATATTTATATGCTGTTGGGAAGAGGAGAGATAGATACTATTTCCCCATCCACTATGTGCAAGTCCCTCGAATACTGTAGGTTTTGACAAAATATACCATTTTAATTCATTTCTGACATGTACTCTTCTCTACTTCTTACCATTCTTTAATCACAGTATACCTCACGGTTGTGGATTATATTTATTTTTTTCCTAAAAGCTATTATTTAATTCATGGTATGTCTTAAGTTTGATACATACATACATACATATATATATATTCAAGTATATACTAGCGTTACTCTTCTTTTACTTAATTATTCTTTGTTACTTCTTCCTTTTCTTTTTATTGCCTTAAATCAGTTGCCCATGGATTAAATATGATTGATTTTTCATGGTAGTTTGTACAGATCAGATATGAGGCCTTAGGAATGTATTGGGTTGGATATGGGAGTGTTGCTTATTGATTGGCATAGTAATGGACTGAAATAATAACCAGGAAGGTTGCAAACATTGGTTCATACAATATTTCTACTTATTATTTAGCTTGCTAAGTACACTTATGTGAATTTTAAAACCTCTCATACAGGGGTATGCCTCACAAAAAGGCAAAGTAATGGAACCATGTGATTCAGGGTTTAAATGCTGGATGCTTTCTTGGAGCAGACCATCTCAGACTAATTCCTGAGGTATTAGTGCTTGTGGTATTTTCAAGAGCTGTGTTTGGAGGCATGGTTAGAGTGCTTAACGTAAGGCCCAAGAGAAGAGCATATTTTAGGGCTATTCATCTTCTTTTGTTCTTTTGTTGTGGTTGGTGACCAAATAATGCAGCATCAAAATGACCTTGAAACGTGAAGCAAATAGCCCAACTTCTTGAGGAGGTGTGTGACATGGAATGAAGATACTTTGATGCTAAGTCAGAAAATTCCATTGCTCACAGGAGAAATGACCCTTGAGCCACGTGTCTGCCATGCTTTGTCCTAGGAACTTAGAACAGAAAGTAGATGAAGAGCCGGGTGTGCTGGCACACCTGCACTCTCCACCACTTGCAAGGTAGAAACAGGAGGCTGGTGAGTTTGAAGCCAGATAAAGCAAAGTTAGAAACAAAATACAAAACCAAAATGACTAAGGGTGGGGCTCCAGAGATAGAGCAATTGCCTGCCGTGCTCAAGGCCCTGGGTTCAATCTCCAGCATAGAAACCAATCAATCAGTCAGTCAGTCACTGTGATAGAAGATACTGTCTCTGTCTTCCAAGTGCTTACAACAGAGATAGGGAAAGTTACTCGTGTATAAGTTGTATGATAGGAAGATGTAACAGGCACTGGGATTATAGAGGCATGAGAGCTGACATAGAAGGTTGTATGAAGAGGCTTCCTGGCGCAGGTGATATCTGACCTGGGTTCAGAAGGATGTGTAAGAGTTATGTAGATGAGGGAAAGGGGAAGCTACATAGGAAATGGGTTGGGAGAAGGAGAAAAGGGATGTTATAGGAAGAAGAAATGAAATTCATCAAAACAAAGAAGATAAACCCACCTGATTTTTTAGGGATTTGTAAATTATCATGCCTGGAGAGAAAGGGATCCGGTGAAAATATGAGGCAAGAGTAGGAGGAGAAGGCTTCAGGTGCTATGTTCAACATTATAAATGAACTTTCTAGCTCAAAGTTTTTATTCCACTTTCTTTGCTGCGGTTCCCTTATCTATCCAATGGGCTTAACAGCTTGGGTGTGCCATCACTGGTCTGTGTTCTCTGATGTCACACGGGGGCCCATTTTGTGTACATGTGCTTAGACTAAGTCTTCATTACTACCTGACACCTTGCACTTCAGCCAAACCAGTTATGATTTTGCCTTTTTCTTGTGATCTATCTTTCTAATTCTCCTTCCTGGTTCCATATTAGAGTCACTTAAGGAACTTTTGAGAAAAACTGAAGCCCTGGGATCCATTGTAGACCATTTATTTCAGAATCTCTACAGTTAGGCCCATGCATCAAATTTTCCTTAGAGTACCTTAGGCAATTCAATTTTGAAGCCACAGTTAAGACTATTTGGGAAGTTTCATTTAAGATATTAAATTATGCCCAAACAACACACATCCTTTCTTCAAACTGCCGCACCAAGCCACTTCCTGGCAGCATAGAGAAAGCAGTGATCTTTCCTGTCTATCTCTGCTCTCTTTAACTTGAAGCTCAATCCCCAATTTCCATATCTACTTCTTACACTTTTGCCATACCTGTGAGGATTTTCTGTATGGTACATGCCAAAATAAATGTTTTTCTATAATGATGACAGTAAGGAAAGTGTGTATCATACTCGTGGGTCCAGTGAATTGAGCATGTGCTGTTGATTAATCTGAATCCAAGTGTGCATATTATCCTTAGTGATATCCATAGGATTTTCCAGAGTATACAGGGATTTGTCTCTCTACTCCAGTGTTTTTTCACATTATCTTTTCTAATGATCAAGATTTTAATGATCCTCCAGAGGAACAAATCTATTGAAGAATTTTTTTAAATTACCAAATATTTTTTCTCCTACTCCCTGTCTCCCCATTCATAGTACAGACCAGGCATAGGGCCTGGGCTGAAGTGTAAATGGGGTAAGTGTACTTTTTCTCCTCTTTCTATATGGTCTTGTAAGAACACAGCCTGTGGTAAGCACCAAGAGGCTAAAAATGATCAAATGTTATTGAATGGGAAAAAATTAAGAAAGGGTATGCCCTTAATATATCATGTACATTGAATACAGGGGTGATTTTAATAATATCAACCTTTTTGTTTACATTTGTGGTTATCATTTGTGAACCATTTTTTTACACACTGTCAAATTTGCTGTCTGTGGATAATGCTAATATACCTAGAAGAGCTATCATTGGCTATTATGTAATATCAAATAATTGTCAGGAACTTAGTAGAATTGAAGAGTGATATAGGTTAAATGACCCAAATTAAAAATCATGCTAAAAATGGGATTCCTGACTGGTTCAGAAGTAGGTTATACTACAAATTAAACTTCCCAACATGGTCTGTCTGACTTTTTAGACTTCTTTAATAAAGTTGATGAAAAGGTTTTTATGGAGACTAGGGGAAGAAAACTGATCATTATTTATTTAGCCAAATGATTTAATGGCTAATGATTTCCAAATCAATAATATGGACAGCTTTCCTCTATAAATCTAGTTCTGGAGTAAATTTTATCACAGAGCGTTTTCCAGAGGTGCATATTTTACACAGAATTAGTGCTTGGAGGTTTAGGCATAGATTTCATCTGATTTGAGCCGTATAGCTTGTTTAGAAAATGTATGATCTTTGAGTTTTGAGGTCTAGCAATGCAAATTAAACACACTGCTAAAAGTATGCAGTCCTTTTTCCTTTCAATATCTACTTTAAAACGTGATATAAAGTTCCTGTGATTTAGTCTCCAGCAAATATGACATCTTGTGGATCCCAGTAAAACTCTGTAATCAGCCTCCTTATCATCCTCTCTAAAATCTCCTCAAATGTTGCTTCTTATGGTTTGGAGATTATAAGCAAGGCTGAGAAGTTTCCTATGTGTGGGTGGGGTTTGATTGCTACTTTGTAAGAAACTTTGAGACTTAGGGAGGGCTGGTTTGAACTCAGGGCTTCATGTTTGCTAACAAACTCTAGAGGTAGAGTGGCGCTCTACCACTCAAGTCAGGCCTCCAGTCCTGTTACTTTGGAGATGGAAGTCTCTTTTTGCCCAGCCCAGCCTGTACTACAGTCTTCCTGTTTATGCTTCCTGTCATCACTGGGTGCCACCTTACCCAGCTTTTTATATTTTTTTTCCCATTGAAGTGGGGTTTTGCAAACCTTTTGCCCAGCTGGTCTGGAATCTTGATCCTTCTATCTCAGCCTCCCTTGTAGCTTGGAACTGCAGGTGTGCGCCCCCATGCCTATTGGTTAAGATTGGGTTTCACTAACTTTTCTCTTGGGCTGGCCTCAAATTCTAATGCTCCTGATCTCATCCTCCCAAGTACCTAGGATTACAGGCATGAGTCAGTGGTTCCCAATGCTCAGAAAATCTTGATGGCCAGTAGTGCAGTTGGTGTCTCCCTCTCCAACTCCGCCATGAGTTTCCTTTCACATTTCATGTGTTGGCTAGAGGGGACCCAGCTGGGCACTTGGGTTGAAGAGATAAATG